ACAACATCTATTTTCTGGTTTTCTATAAAGAACAACAGATTGTAAAAAACAACAGACAAAAAAACAGCCCAAAATTTGAACTCTAGAGACTCTTTTCTCACATTTCAATCCCCTAGACATATTACTAAAATTCGAAATTACAACTATAAAGAGGATAATTTTGATTTTTTTTTGACAAATTTATTATTACTAAAAATAGAATTGAAAATAGAAAACATAATTGTCAGAACTATCTAATTTACAAATTTCTTACATCATATTGCATGCATGAAAAATTAAATCTGTTAGATTGATTGATACCAAAAGATACTAGGAAGATTATTCTTGAGTCAAAAGAATGATCTAGTAGCATGAAATATTAGAATACTCCTTAGATACATGATAGATAACATGGATTTGATTTTACAGATTTTCACTTCATGATCTTGATGGATGGTAGGACTAGTTGTAGTTCCATTCGACTATGCTTTCAATTCACTTGTAGGACTAGTTGGCTAGTGTGTTAGATAATTGTCCTTCCGACTTACTTGTGTCCCTAACTAGTTGATGGGTCCCCCCCCTTTACATATTTATATTTTATTTATTTATCTTTATTTGATCCAAAAATATGATTAGAAAAATTATATAAATTCACATGACTAACTAAAAATTTACATTAATTAATTAAAAACTACTTTACTCAATTTAACATAACTATGAGTCTATTTATAATGAGTTAAGGCTTAATTAATTATTAACTCATGATAATGATGAGATATTACTTACCTAGTAGACTTACTTAGAAAAATGATGTTTACCTAGATTAGATAGATTTTACCATCAATTTGAGTTTTCTAAGAGATACAAGACTTACTTGACAATAGACTTGATGAAGTGAAGCAACAGTATATATGATAGTAGAAGCTTTTCTCATGTAGTATAACCCTCTATCTTCATAACCTTCGTCAATCCTCCTCCATGTCTTCACGTGTTAAATGAAACATGAATCAGGGAAGAAGGTTATGGCAGCTGATATGGATTAAGTGAGTTTACTAATGAAAATAAGGTTAAAAGAATGTGAAAATTTTATTTGAGAGAAAGATTGGGGTTATGCTATGTAGATCTTATACTTGTGATAGGGTGTAGTAGAACAATTTACAAAGGTGACAATAAAAAGACTAAGATAACTAGAATAGGATATAAAATTATTGGATATATTTATAATATAGTTGATAACACCTTTGTCAAAGGACCTAACAAGTTTGTATATTTGAAGAGGATGTAGATGTGTGCGAGAAGCACCTAGTAGATATCTTAGGTTGCATGACCTAATCGTTGTGTAATAAATACAAGTTTTAAATTTATAAAATTCAAAAATATTATGTTTTAGATTTTTAGAAATATTTCAGAATAAATAAATTAATAATAATTTATGAAAATATTCTAAGAGTAGTAGAAAATATTTAGATTAACCATAGAGATGTAAGATAATATTGGGTAGTATTTTAGAATTGTTTGTAAATAATATGAATTTATATGATTTTTAGACTAAATGATGAAGATAAAAATATATTTAAAAATTCACAAAAAAAATTAGGTATAGACATCAGGGTGATGTCAACAGCCCAACAAATATAACTTGAGTGGAAACAAAGTTCTACCTCATAATTCTTATGTTGATGATTAAAAATAATTTAATTAATCAAATTAAGATTTTTAATTAGAAATCACACAAAATCTTACTAAGTAAAAAATAAGCTTAAAGTAGAAAAGGTAGAGTTATATTTTCACAACTAATTGCCAAAATTCTATGTTCTAGAAGATTATCACTCAATCTCAATGACCTTAAAGGCTTTTCTTAGATATGGAGGATGTAGGTAATTTTTATATCTCTTCAAAAAGTATAAAAATTAATGAGGTGGTTTGACAAATTATCTCCAACAGCCTAGAAGAGTGGAAAAATGATGACTTTTGAAGTAGTGGCTGTCACTTGATGGAGATAAGTTAGATAGAGGTGGAACATATTTGCAGGAGCTTCATCCTTAGGTCTGCACACGAGAAGAAGCTCTTCATTACATTGGCATGCTCTTAAGAGGTAGAGACTTATCTCTTGATAGGTCATTTTCTTCTCGACAACAGCTTATTTGTTAATTATTTAGAGATGATTTAAGAGGATCTCATCTTGCTCCTCCCACTACTCATGAAAATTGGGTTCAGATGGAACACCTCTCAGTAGATGATTAATCTTGCCTTGTCTTTGAAATAAATTCTCACTAATCTTTTCTAATGATGATGATTCTCTCTAGTAAACTTATGATTTGCCACAAAGTGACTTTGTATGGCATGTGGAACAGTAGGTTTCAATCCTTCTATCATATTTGATTATTGACCATTGATCAATCAATGTTGACAAATGATCATAAATGTTGACTGTTGACAGCAGAAGGGATTGATATTTGTTCACATCTACTGTGATCTTAACTATGAATGAGCCATCACTTGATTTTTACATTAAAGCCTCAACCTTTCCAACATATGTTCACAATGTGATAACTGGAAAGTTTTTGGGACCTGATTGGACCATCCGTTGTCTGAATATAAAACATGTTTTGAGTATAGCTTATTTAATACATGTAAAATTTGTAAATAGATACGTCCAATGGATTTAGAATTCTGTTGATAAATCTTACATTGTCCATAGGTCTAGTTAATTCAAATTACTGTTCTAATCCCCATTGCTGTCATGGAAAGAACCAGAATAATACCTCTCGGTTTTGCCATTGGAAAGTTCTGAAAACAGAATATTTTAAGATGACTACAAATAATATTAACATCACGCGTCTGATAGCAAGGAAAATGACAATATATAATTATTCAATATTTTGAATCATATATTTTTACTTAGCTATCTGTAGAAAGAAAAATCCATAAAGGAAATTCCTACAGAGAGTTGCCCCTATTAGGAAGTTGTTTCTCAGTTCTTTGGACAAGATTTCTAATGATGAGCCGCAGAGGTGGATTTCCCTGAGAAGAACAATTTTGTTAGTATAGGTTCGAGATGCTGAAGAGGAATAAAAAATATTTCGTCGAGACTAAGAAAACTAGTAAGAAGGCACCCGACTATGAATGGGGAAGGGGATAGATTTTTTCTTAACACGGCCGACGACAAATTAGTGATGGGATTGCGAGTATAACACGATCTGGGTGACATGTCACTTACATGTGGCCATATTTAATGTTCAGGCCAATGAATGGTCCCAAAGTGGACACTGCCATGCTTACCAATAGGGGGTTTCCCTTCCCTAGATCCGACATATCCCAACGATGGAACTTATGATGATAGGGGGTTTCAAGCCCATTTGTCAATGGGGTCCTTATATGCATTAACTGCGTTAGATGAAATTAAATGGTAGAAGCCTATAATCTGTTGTAGGTGTGTCCATAGTTTGGTGGACTGCTGGTAATAGTAGAGGGGATGAAAGAATACATTTCCTTCTCTTCATTTCGCTCAATTCCAATTCAGTAATTAATTGACATACGATCGGGAGGATGAGCCTTTGTTGCTCTCTACCTCCAAAGTATTTATAGTAAGCTTCCTTCATCCAATAGGCTTCTTCCTCTCCCTTTTCCTCTCATTTATGTTGTACATGCGTGCAAAGGCGTGCTTATATGGACCATTGGTTTTGGATCCCTTTCTCTCTCTTTCTTTCTCTTTCGTTTGTATCTAACAGCACATATACACATGCACTTCCTTTCGTTTCGGATCCAGCATAAACGTCCGAAGCGATGGTTTTCGAGCGCATCATCTATTTCCCGTCGACTCAACGCGGGGATCAACTGGAGTTAAGAGCTTATGAATAAGGATAAAACTATAATACATCATCTTCCAACACGAACGATTGGGAAACTTATCTGACGTTCTCGAGATTAGCTGTCGTTGAATCAGCCGTCGGCAGGTCATAAATCTGATCGTCAATTCAAATGTTTAAACATAACTCTGAATACGACGACTCCAGACCATGGCTAAGCGACACGTTTGCCAATGGCTTGAATATGTCGGCAACCAGAAATTCTTATGCATCTCGATCTCTGCGGTTCCCAAGTTCTGCGTGGTCGCGTTTTTATGAGCCTGTATGACGGAGTTGCAGGGGAAGTCCAGAAGTCTAGGAAGCCGTATGGTCACCGGCACGTACGGGAGATGGAAAAGAAGATCGCTCGGAGAGCAATAAATGAGATGGGAAGTGTAGCAGGGACCGATGGACGGCTTACACCGTAGATGGCTCAAAAAGTTGAGGTATTGAACTTACATTTCCGTGTCAACTTCGGAACAGAATTACAATGTGAAAGGGAGAGGATTTGACTCGGTGAATGTATACCCGATAGAAGAGAGAGGGGACGGGGGAGTGAGAGAGAGAGACGACCTTCCTTTCTCTTCAATTTTCAATCCCCCCGATTATTTTCTCTTTAAATTTGTTCCTTTTATAATTTCACCGGTTTCAGCTGAGAATTTTCCTAAGAGTTCATAGCAATTGGCCTTTGGCCTATACACTACGCGCACGTAATAAACAACATAATGCGATTGATTAGAGCAGAAAAACTGGTGAATCCAGAAATTAAATCAGATAGAACTCAGTAGTTTTATCATTTCCTAACACTGAAAATAAAGATCATGCATTGACCAACAAAATAAAGCTTCTTTCGTTGATGGAACTAGTACGGAGTTTAAGATCTTTATTGATACAAAACAATATATATGGCCATTATAAAGGGCAACGGCAGTCATGTTTTATTATAACCTGGTATATCGAATCCATTGTACTTCTACTCCAGTCGTTTGTTGATTATGTCCTCATTTGAAGCCTCTGCACATGTACGAGTGAGCCTGAAAAGGGCCATTAAACGAGGGTCCCATCTTGTCTATTCTACAAAAGACCCTCTGGCTGATTAAATTTACTACAAAAGACCCTCCACTTCTTTATTGGAGCTCACAAATCTGTCTGATCCCGCAGCGTGACGAGACCATGGAGTTTCCCTTGTTGGAGACGCTGAAATCTCAACCGGTATGGGTGCTTCCCCTGCTATCAGTTGGCTTCTTCAATTTGTTGAGGGCCTCTCTCTACTTCCTTTGGTGGATCTATGTCTTCTTCCTTCGACCTTCCAAGAACCTTCTGGGCTATGGCCGATGGGCAATCGTCACCGGGCCAACCGACGGTATTGGAAAGTCCATGGCCTTCGAGATGGCCAGGAAAGGGGTCAACCTGGTCCTCGTCGGCCGGAGACCTGATATGCTGAAGCAGGTCACGGGTGCGATTAAGGCAGAAGTGCCGACTATTGAGGTTGTGACTGTCGTCTTCGACCTCAACGAGGACATCGCAGACGGGGTCAAGCGACTCGGGGACGCCATCAGAGGGCTTGACGTGGGGGTACTGATTAACAATGCTGGGGTGTCCTACCGTGTCCCCAAGTGCTTGCACGAGGTCGACGAGGAGATGTTCAGCGAGCTAGTAAACGTTAACATGGAGGCGTTGACGGACATCACACGCCTGGTGCTGTCGGGGATGGTGAAGAAGAAGAAAGGCGCCATCGTCAACCTCGGATCTGCGTCGACTGTTGTCACTCCGTCTTATCCCATGCTTGCTGTTTATGCTGGCACAAAAGCGTAAGTCTTTCAAAGTGAGCCTGGTTGTGTATCGTCGTCGTCATCATTTTGTTCTTGTTTTTCTTGTCTTTCGCTCTGCGGCCCCCGGTCCGCCCTTTTATCTCCCTCACATATCTTTATGTCACCTTACCGATTTCCATCGCGTGTGCGTAATCTTTTTATGTTGTTCGCCATATTTATTTTTCTTACAAACCTATTTCTTTTCCTCGTTTTCCATGTACCTCTTTCTACCATCCTCATCATCCGACGTTCTCCAAGTTAAAAATTATCTTACTCCCCTAAAGTATTTACAACAAATTTTTTAATGCGTGGTACAGATCTAGCACATGTTCTTTCAGATTCGCTAACTTTCTTTAGTCATTAATCAGTTATGTGGATAGTTTGTCGAGAAGCCTGCACCAAGAGTATAAGAATAATGGGATCGACATTCAGTGCCAGGTAACAATTATATTCTTCATTTTTCCAAATTTATGGATCTGCTCCCGAAAGAATTATTCATACTTTATTATATGTACAGCCTAATATCCATAAGCTTCATGTCTTAACCAGTTTTTTCAAACTCCTAACTTTTATTTTCGGTTTAGTCTTCATTCAAGTTTGGGGACGGGAACAGTCTGGTTAGGTCTGAAACATTGTCCAGTTTTTCGAACATGGACCTCGAACTGAAGTCTGAAAGGACATCACACGCCTCGAACATGGACATCACACGCCTGGTTAGATCAAAACTGGCTCGGTTCCATATTTATCTGGTCTAAGTTCAGGCTCCAGTAGAGTTCATCGATCAGAAACAGTTTACTCGGTATGTTGTGTCATCGCGAATACCCACATCTGAGTCCGTTTTTCCCTTCTGCTTCCATCAGAACTAAACCTTGAGGCCCCGATCCCAACAGCAACATTATTCCCCCTTTCAACCTAGCGATCACCCCCAAAACCCACCCTTTCATCTGTCTCTAGAATATCCCTCGGTTTCCTTATGGAGCGAGAAATCCCGATAGCTTTTTCTCCATAAGACTTGGTTGAACTTGTTTTGATTCTAAAGGTATGCACTAGCTCTGCGTGCGGTTCCTCCCTTCTCCCTCCTGCAGCATATCCTCTAAGTGCTCCCCCCGTTACCTCGTCACTGCCCGTTCCAGTCCAGGTCGACCGCATGCCATCCCCTGCCTCGCCGCGATGCCTAGCGTCAGCGCCCTTCCCTCGGCGGTAACTATTAGTCTCATCACAAAATGTGTCCCTCCTGCGTCATTACTGACCTTGCCATATTGCTGGTTGCTCCTGATAAACTGCTATGGGAATTCAGACCCTCGTTTCTCAGTCTTTCCTGTGGTGCCAGGGTAGGTTAGAACGGTATAAGGTGTTCTCGAGCTTTGGTTGTACTTGGCAGCCTCAAGCCTAGCCCCACAAGTTGGTATCCTTGATTTTTTTGGAAGATATAACTTTAGATCTCTAAACTAAATGAGTACTTCGATCTAGTAAGTACAATGCAATCTGTATTCGGCTCTTCCTACATTTTATTCTTTATGTTTGGTCAGGTTCCCTTATTCGTGGTAACAAAGATGGTTCCAGACAAGAAACTTTATTTCTTCAACCCTAGCCCAGATGGGTACGCTCCATCAGCCGTTCGTGCCATTGGCTATGGAGCTACAGTAATCCCGTATTGGCGGCAGTCACTGCAGGCTTATCTAGCTACATACGTGCCCGTGGGTATCTTTAATGAACAGCTATTGCGTTCTGCCCTTCGAAGAAGAGTGTTGTACCCTTACGGGTGAGACGATGCTACCGGTTTCTCTACTTGTTTCCCGAAATAGTTGGATTTTTGGAAAAACTCTACCGTGTTTGATATCTTATTAATGATCGTTTGGTACCTGGGAGGTCGATAACTGTGCGGTTCAATGGTATTAATGCCATCGAATTTGTCATTAGTAGCTTGGATACTCATTTTGTAAGCAGTGTTTCTCGGAATTGAATGTGAGTTGTGGGGTGGGGATGAAGTTTGGCTCATGCACCGGAATCCTTTCCAACAGCCGGCATTAGCCAGCTCAGGAGAATATGTTGACAATGGGTTTAGGTTAGAGTTTTATTAAACCTGTTCCTTTTTAGGTTGTAACTTTAGAATAGTTTTTATGTTTAAATTTCCTCAAAGTAGGCTACAGCTAATTTTTGTGCCATTTTAATTGGAAATAAGCCAGTTTTTGTAAATTTGGATTATTTTTAATCTTTTCATCCAATTCTGCTTATAAGGTTGAACCATTCTAGTTAGCAAGCTGGTGAGACATCTATTGAGGATTCCCATAGTTTATTCAGAATTCTCGTCTGTGTATCCTGATAATTCCAAATAATTATCAGTGTGTTCTCAAGTAGAAACAGAAAGTTCTTTATAGTGGGAAACTAGGTTTGGTGAAATCAAATAAATAGAAATAGAAGACCACCTATAGATTAGTTGGTACAGTACATTTTCCGACTATAGAAATGAATAAAAAAGTACAATACATTTTCCTGCTAGAATTAGTTGGTATGCAGAGCTAGATCTATTATCCACTTCACTTTTAGTCAGAAATATATTAACTAACTACTTATTCCTAAATGAGTCTTACGAGAAAGTTAAATCAGTTTCAATTAAATGGTTCCCAATGAGATATTTATTGGCTTCTTCTTAATCAATTATTTATCTTGACCAATATCCACCAAGGCTTCAATGATGCACTAAATGCTTATTTTTACAAACAACACATGCCCTGATGTCCTCTTCACATGTTATTCTATATTGGTTTGATCCAATATTGAAGAATCATAACTGTTTTATTGCTACAAAGATGTCTTTTGATCACTAACATGCAGTCCATCTCTCTCCATAGGCTCCCTTTTATTTTGCTTAACTTTGAAAAATCTGAAGGTCTTCCCAATCTATCTCAAAGTGATTGTACAAGACTTGCAAACACGTTAAAATAAATAAAAGTGCATGACTAACAACATAAAGATAAATGAAAATATCCCAGATACAAATATGTAATTTCAAATCAGTTTGTAAGGTGTGCTGCCTTTTGTGGAGTTATGTCAACTATTAATCGTAGATTTTAAACTCATAATGTAAAAATTCTATCATTGCATTATTTTCAGTATTTCAAATAGTTGAGATTATTTAGTAGCATGTCGATCTTTGATCAATCTTCTCCTAAGCTAGAATACTATATCCTCCATCTAAATCATTAATTCAAAGAAAATACAAATAAAAAAGGTCAGTGTTAAAAATTGAATGTTTTTTCAGAGTAATTAATTTTTCAAAAGGGATTCATTTTCCTATGCCTTTGACTATCTTTATATGCAGATGAACATAAACATGACACCCATAGTTTGAAAGAATAAGGTCAACTCAAAAACGTTTTTAACATTCTTCATTTTGTTATCTCATTCTATTGAAGATGAACATTTTTAAAACATCATTTCAATTGCTAAGTCAACTTGAATCTTTACCATACCAAGAGTTTGTAATGAACTATAGGTGAAACATAGAGATAACCTGGAAAATATCTAGAAATGATAGACATGAAGATTTCATATTCTTGAAAAAATAATCCAAATATCTAGTATAGTGGGTGAGTATGGGAGGATTTACCAGGAAACTTATTTTAGTGATATCTGTTGGCAGAGAGATTCAAGAGAGAGAAGAATTATCACTAAAGATTGTGGCTCTCCCTTAAGGTTTAAGAAAGGTAACCTTAAGGGAGATATTTACAAGACTAGCCCTTAAATGGGCCTAGCCAATTGATGGGTCTGAGATGAGTTGCTAAATGGGCTGACCTTTCAACACTCTCCCTCAAACTTGAGTGTTTATATTGTAGCCCATGACTTATGTATAGAAATTCTATCTTATGATCATTTAGTGGTTTCCTCAACATATCATTAAGTTGATCCTAAGATTTAACGTTAATAGTAGTGATGAGGTTTGCTAGAAGTTTCTCTTTAACAAAGTGACTATCGACTTCAATATGTTTCATTGTCTCATGAAAGTTACAATTAGAGGTAATATAATTAGTAGTTTGGTTGTTATATTTGAGCATCATAAAACATAGATGAAAGAAGCCATGTTATTCTAAAAAAACTCAATCTAAAATGTTTCTATGTAGTATGTACCACGTTACCTTGTATTCTCACCATACTAGTACCAGAAGAAATGTCTCAACGTGTGATGGGTGAAAAGTTTAATTTTCTAATCAGATATTGTACCTCCTTGAACCCCCAAGCAGGTTTCTTTCATCAAGAGAATTCTAAAATTGTTATCCATTAGAGTGCTAGTTAGTTTCGCACTTGATATATCTAGTTCTATGAGAAGCTTCGAGATGCTTTCATTAGATGATTATAATTTCATCAGACATTGTACCTCCTTGACCCCCCAAGCAGTGACTGATACTACCTTCAACAGCTTAGTAGCTTATTCGAATGTGCCTTGGATTCTGAACAAAAGTTTTAAAAATGCACGTTCTATGCTTCTGGGAGTCTTCTATTCTCCTCCCAACCTTTCATGCCTCCCATGTACAATTTCTTCATTTTCCTTTTTTTTATCGGCGTCTGAAGTTGAGATAAGATAATGAGAGCTATAAAGGCAGCACTCTTCATCTCTCCAGTCTGTCCATGCGACGTCTTCATTCATGCGGTCAAATATGACAGTAAATGGGTATCCTAAATGTTGGTGAAGTTCAGATAAAGCTGAGGACAACCGCAACTATCTGTAACGTCAAGAATGAGAACCACTTTCATGGTAGCGGATGAAAAAGACCGCCGGAAAAGAGAAATTTCTGTCTTGGCTGGGGAACGGAGCTGACAAATCTAAATGCATAGATCTTAGAGCCATCCACTGTGTCGCCTTCCCAGTTCCTCAGGTTCGCCCTATCGGGTGGTTCAACAGGGAGTTAGACATCTACGTGATCAGGACCATGAAAATCCGGGATCAATTTATATCCACATGGGTACGCACAGAACACGGATGGCTATCTCAATGACTGGGGTGAATTAATTTTTTCTTATTCATTAAAACGGAGGTAGATCAATATGGGACACCGAATGGCAGTGAAGGAGATAAGGCAGAGCGCACTATTAGGAAATTGTTGCGTTCCATAGTCACTCTTGAGTTCAATAAATGTCAAGAAGAGAGCTGGCAAACATCCATAATGGTCGTCCCTACCCCATGAGATAGAATGATGTTAAAACTCAAGTAACCTACAGAAAGGTTGAGGGAAAGTTGATGTCAAAACAAAAACAGAAAGGATCCCATCATGTGAAATCAACCAAGAAAAACAGGTCACGGGGTTTTATTGAGAAGGGCAGTGATAGGAAAGGAAAAAGAAAGGTCGACAAGAGAGGGAGGGAGGAAGAGAGAGACAAAGAGAAGAGAAAATAACAGGGAAGCAAAGGGAGAACCACTTGAGAGAAGACAAAGTAAAAGGCAAGATGGCATCAATCGGAGTGTAAAAGACAACACGAGAGATGCTAGGAGCGGAACAGTGGAACTCCGGATCTGCTGATGACCACGTGGGAGGCCAAACATATGGCAGGCCTGCAATATCGGTTGGCACATATAAGGCGCTTTATTAATTTAATTGTATGATGCCCGCGTTCGCTGGGGACAGTGAAAAAGAGGCACAGGAGGGACAGACAGATTGACAGACGTGCACCCCACTTGATGCCTTAGATTTACTTCTCATTATTGCATTTCCTGGTTTTCTCCCACCTTGAGAGATAAACGCTAGGTAATTTCTGACATTTTTAAAAGAATCTTGGTATGATTGACCGTTGGCAAGCATTGTTTAATTAGTTCAAGCGTACAGAGACGACCCATTTTACCAGACGCCAATTCTCGCTCAGGTTGTAATCGAACTAATGTCTTTCTCGATCATATTTATTAGAATATGTCCCTTTAGATTACGTTCCAATTGACCGAATCGTGTCCAAGATCTATCGAATTTGTTAATTTTTATTATATTTAGTTTGTCGTGTTTTATTTACTGCATGTCGGGTATAACACGCAGCCTTCACAACTCATATTGCTTTATCATACCTATCAGAGAAGTCAATGAATTATGTTTCCTTTTGTACATCGATCGGGTTCTTGGTGATTAGATCTTACCGCTGAGTAAATTTACGGTTAGTAAGATAAAACCAGTTACTCACCCGGACCTAGGCGATCTTTTCATTCCACCTAATTAGAACATTAACCCTATTTTAGATAAGGGGCGGAGGAGGTAAGAAGGGAAGGTCCTTATGTAAAGAATAGTAAGTCTAACGAACCAGTCTAGAGGTAAGTTTGATATAGATTCCATGTATAGCGTTTCCTCCAACGGAATAAGAACCGTATTTTATGCCACTGGTATCTGCCTACAAAGACCCACATAGAGTTTGTTCCTACTATCTGAAGAGCTCATGCAGCTCTTTTCTTCAGTCACGGTGATATCTCAACATCTATTGGTTACGCTGCTAGTAACAGTAGGCTGGATCGATGCCTTCAGTCATTTTCTCCCTCTTCTTAGATGGTTGGTTCAACAGAGATTTGTCATGATCTCCAGCTCCTGAAATAGTTAAGGATAGCTTAAAGGGTATGTGCCCACGTCTTAGATCGGTTTTATTTATTGAGAAATACAGTGTGTGACCCTGCAGCGTAGAGACACAGTGGTACTGCCCTTCTTAGACACAGTGAGATCTCAGCCTCCATGTGTTTTCCTTCTATTGTTAGTAGGCCCCTTTAACGTATCAAGGACCTGTTTATCCTTCTTGAAGTGGATATATACCTTCTTCCTTCGGCAATCCAAGAACATTCTGGACTACGGTAGCCGGGCGATCGTCACAGGGGCGACTGATGGCACCGGCAAGGCCTTGGCTTTCGAGATGGCCAGAAAAAGGCCTCAACCTTGTCCTCGTCGACAGGGACTTTGACATGCTGAGGCATGTCGCTGCCGCGATAAACGTAGAGGTGCCAGTTGCTGAGATTGTGACGGTCGTCTTTGAACTCTCGCGCGATATCCTTGAGGGGCTTTGTCGGCTCCAGAAGGCAATTGAGTGTCTGGAGATTGGGATTCTTGTGAACAACGCGGGGGTCTCCTATGCCGTTCCAAAGTACCTGCACGAAGTGGATGAGGAGACAAGGAGCTAGCGAATGTCAACATGGAAGCAGCGACGGACATCATGAGGCTGGTGTTCCTGGGAATGCTAGGAAAGAAGGGCTTTCGTCAGCATAGGCTCTAGGTCATTCGTGATCTTACCCCTTGTTCGCTGTTTTTACGGGCACCAAAGGGTTGGTGTTCTTTCTCGGTGTGTTCCCCAGACCGTGTTCATTTTCTTCTTTTTCTTCTTTTTCTTGTTCTTCAACGTCGCCTCTTTCCCTCTCTCTCTCTCTCTCTCTCTCTCTCTCTCACTCACTCTCTCACACAGACGATATTGGGATGGTTTGTCTGTCTTCTTGTTTCCGTGATCTTGCCGTTTCCCTCTCATTCTGTATCTCTATGTAATCTTCCTTCATCTCTCTCGTCCCCTGGCTCAACATCCCTGCCACTCTGCCATCGTACGCCTTATTCTTTATTTCAATTTATCTCTGTTTTCGTTTTCTGTCTCAGTCGACCATTTTTCCTGCCGCGTTTCTGTCTTCGATTAGCTTTTTCTCCGCCTTCTTTTTCTCCCTTTTCTCCTTTGTATCAGTGTTGACAATATTCACTGTTATTTTATTTTAACTAAGGTTTGTGAACGGTTTATCTAAAAGTTTGCACCACGAATATAAGAATCATGGCGTTGATGTGCAATGCCAGGTAGGCCTATATTCTTTTTCTCCAAATGAGATTTGCTCATTCTATTGTAAAAGTTCATAAGCATCGAGATACACGTAATATGTCAGTAGAATTAGACCTATCTTTTAAACTGAAATCATAATATTGGAAAAAGTAAATAGTGACGCTAGTAGCATAATCCCTACGGTTTCATGTTTCCACCTTATACGTATTTTTCTAAATATTATTCAACTGACTGAATTATTAATTGTAGGGGATTTTGTAAAGTGAATGTAGAGAGACCTTTTATAGGAAATCTACGTTTTCTCTTTCCAAATTGTTAAGTTTTTTTTAACTTGTTTCTTCTGTTCATCATTATTAAAATTCCCTCGCTCGCTGTAACAAACGCCCGACGAGTATGCTGGTCTTACCATACGTGCCATCAGATACGGGACAACAATGCTCACCTACTGGCGTCATTCCATCCAGTGCTTTTTCGCTAACCTTAATCTTGAAAAGTTTCTGAATGCATGGCTATTACACTCTGCCCGCCGTAGAAGGTAGAACTACCCTTCTCGTTGAGTCCTCATCTGCTTCCTTTCTGGCTTTTTTTTATGCGATACGAAGTATGTTTTCGTCCACTACTGTCGAATTTTGTACTTGTGTCAACTGTTGTCGAACTCTGGGACTATGTTATAGAATGCATGGTTGACGTTGTGAAGTGCAAGTCCAAGTCTGGTGGAAGGGGGACCAGAGCATCCCGAGTTCTGGACCCAAGAGGGATCTCTAAACGATCATTATGAGCATGCTGCTTGTCGCCTTTATATCAAGATTAATTTTAAAACCCCAACTCATAAAATCTGGTGCCATACTGTTACCAAGTATATTTTCGCGTTTAATTGTTCTCTGGGAAGTTACTAGCAAATCTTTACCATATTTCCTAGGAGATTTTAATTGACTGCGTGGACATTTTCTCGTCAAGCGTACTTCAAAAAAATCGATAGTTTTTGTTATAAAGCATCATAGAGCTGTAGTCACGCATGTTTAAGCGTGATTAAATTTATGGTTATAAATTTGTAGAACAAAAGGTTAAATTTTTTACCTCATAATTTAAGCGTAAAAATTCTTTAAGAGTGATTAATGGTTATAAATGTGCAATACAATGAAAATGTATAGTATACTCTATATTTTTGTTCTCTACAAGTTTTGTCTTTCTAATAGACCCTCAGAAGCCCTCCACATGCCACGGAAGAAACGGTCAAAACCACAACGGTCAACATCACGTTATGGAAGCCAGGCGAGTGCGGAGATCCAGCCAACTAGAGAAAGGAGCATGACGCTCCACCCATGGAAGCCAATGTAATGCTTCGTCGTCGAAGCTGATACCCGCCATCATGATTTTAGCTGTGTCCTGCTGTGGATGAAGGGAAAAGAAAATCTCAGCGCGATATACCCAACCTTGTGGATTTGAGCCGGAGAAGACATGAAGCTCAAGCCAACGCGTGCCCAAGGAAAGATCTGTGGGGCGTTTTGCATGGTTCGACACTCCTGGGTGAGACGCGGCTGGCGCAAACTCCGGCGCCATGTGGGCATGCGTCCGTGAGGCGGAAGCTGGTTGGCCAGACGAAGACGGAATGTCAGGATGCGATTGCGAGAAGTCAACTGTTGGAGGGCAAGTTGGATCCCTGCAAGGATGTCATCTGTGACCTCGAACCAATGTTCCATTCGCGATTCCAAGCCAGGAATGCGGCGCCGTTGCGGCATCGTTATTCAGCGTCGGACGTTGCTGCAGTATTTTTAGGAGACGTTGTCAAGCTCCATGGGTTCTCCCTCACCATCATCTCAGATAGAGACTGGATATTCCTCAGCCACTTCTGGAAGGAGTTATTCCGTCTTCAGGGCACCAAACTTTGTTGGAGTATAGCGTACCACCCGCGAACAAACGGTTAGACCGAGGTTGTTAATCATTGCCTTGAAACTTATTTACGGTGTTTCACCTTTGAACGCCCCAACCAGTGGTCGAAATGGCTTTCGTGGGCAGAACATTGGCACAATACAAACTATCACAGCTCGCTCAAGCTCACCCCTTTCCGCGTAGTTTATGGTTGTGACCCACCGCCCCTTATCTGTTTCAGCCGCAGGCATTCAGCCGTAGCGTCCATCAATGTGCAATTGCAGGAATGGGATACCATCTTATTACAGCTTAAAGACCATCTCCTTCAAGCTCAGAATCGAATGAAAATTCAACATAACAAGCATCGTCGAGAGTTATCTTTTCATGGAAGCAATATGGTTTATCTCAGGTTGTGGCCCTATCGTCTACAGATGCTTGCCCGTCGGCCTAATGAGAAACTCTCCCCATGATATTTCGGTCCTTATAAGGTGATGGCCCATTTCGGTCAAGTTGCTTATTGGCTGGACCTTCAGTCTTCAGCTAAGATTCATTTAGTATCTCACGTATCACTACTCAAACTTGCAATTGGATAACATGACCTTTCTCAACCGCTTCCAACTATCCTTGACGAGAATCTCACGTGGAACGCGGTATCTAGAGCTATATTACAACTCCGCTCTTCTTCAAGCGGTCCGGAAGTGTTTAAGCGGTATCTCACGTGGAAGCATTTACTGGAATTCGAGTCGACGTGGGAATCTCTCACTCGTTTTCGCACCTAATTTCCAGATTTTAACCTTGTCGACAAGGTTTCTTTCGAAGCCGGGGGGGTATTGATCGACCCTCGGAAGCCCTCCACGTGCCACGGAAGAAACGGTCAAAACCACAACGGTCAACACCACATTATGGATGCCTCGCTCCAACTACGCAAGCGTTTATTCAGGAAAATATGGGGCACAATCACAAGTAACCGTTCATATTACTAGTCTATAAGTATCAAAATGAGATAGGGTAAAAAGGGGGGGCGGGGTTTAGAGTCTGAAGCCGCTGAGCGCTTCTCGAGTGTGGGCCCTCTTACTATTTTGAGAGGCTGTCCTATTGTTCTCTCTCTCTCTCTCTTACTTTAGAGTCTCCATTTCAGATTTCCCTTGTCACTGTCCACCAGTTCTGTTGAGTTCCAGAGTTCCGCGAGTTATCATGGATCTCATGTGTCTTTCTCTTCTCATGGAGTCGTCCGCAAAGGAGGAGTGGTCTGAAGTCGTCACATTCTCGTCATCAACCGCTGTTACTTACTGTTCATCATTATTCTATTTCCTCTCCAACCTCTCGTTCTTCTTGTCTCTCCGATGTTCAGTACCCTCTTCCGTCCCTCCCCTTTATCGATGCCACCATAATTAACCGAGGAATCGTCCTCCTCTTGGCCACGACAGCACGAGAGTAGTCAACATAACAGAGGGTCCTATCACTTTCCTATAGATCTTGGTAGAGTACAATATTATTGGCACACAAACTTTTAGTTCCCCGACTAGATAAAATAATTAATTACGAACTCAATGCATACACAATTAGGGATAAAACAGGACATCTATAACCATTTCCTTCGGCTGCTCATCTGATGAAATTTTCAGACTACTAGTAAAATTCAAATCCCCTTAATTATCTAGGCGTGATAAGGTGTCAAGGTGGACATTTTTTCAAAACTGTGATGACATACTTTCAAGCCCTTATATGCGGCTCCCTGAAATAAGAACTTAAAATTAAGGCCCAACTAACGGTAACATTTCTCCGCTCAACGGAAAAAGGCACAATTAGAATGGAAAAGTGAAGATCTAAGATCAGTTAGGAGAGGCTTGGATGAACCCCAATTCAGCCATTTTTTTTCCGGCATCAGGCAATAAATTGAATCTGTATGAAGAAAGGGAGGCCATTCTCGTTTTTGGGTCATATTTGTCCAATTATCTGTGTAATCAATGGGATAGAGACCAAAGGCCATCCACATAGCCCTTTTCAAATAATGGAAGCAAGTAAGTTACAATGTCAATCTCCTCTCGGTGATGATAAACCACATGCCGGCTCATCTCCAGGTAACGTAAAAATATCCAAATGAAGGTGAATGGCCATCATTTCATAGTAGTAATATTAACACCTACCGGCGACCACTAGGGGCAGATGCTGTCGAACCTCGGGCGTGCGAACAAAAATTGATTCGGGGAACGATGTTATGGAGATAACGGCACGTCAAACTGGTAGGCAGGAGTGATGGGTTGGAGTTGCCAGAGCTCCGGTCCAACCTAGTACGAAACTCCGAAGTCATTCAGTAGCCGAGTTGATGGGTGGAATCCACAATCGTTTTCGAGGCAAAAATTGTTTTAATAATAGCATTTGCATGTGCAAGGACATCGATTCATTACTATCCTACCTTTCCGTTCTATCGCTCAAACTATATAGTTCAGATTCGATCACCTTTGAACGTCTTTAATGTATTCTACACTACTTGTCTTATTTACAGTACACTGGATACATTTCATTTTTTGCTAGCGGCTGAACTTGCCTCTTGATTTCATTGACTCGCATTAATAATGATATTGCCTAAAATTTTCTCAACTTTGCCAAAAAAACGTTAAGTCACTCTCTATAATGAGATAGGTAGGTGAAACTTTTTAATTTACTATCAATGTCCAATACTCATTTATTGAAACTGACGTAGCGTTTTATCTTTTCCAGTGAGAAGAACCGGCAGTTTCCCTTATTAGACACAATGAGATGTAGAAGTATGGTTCTTTTCATTCATGTCTCAAGACCTTGTCCATCTCTCTCTTTCATATGTGAAGGGGGTCATGAAAAATCGGAATACCGCATTTGGTGTACGCAATCCTGAAATTTGGTTGTTTTAACTGTTCATCATGGCTGCGAAAAGAAAGGAAACAAGGAGAAATAAAGAAACAAGGTGTTTAGTACATACCATCTTGAAATATGGTAGGGTTAGTTGTGTTGACTAATAAAAGGAATGGGAGAAACAGAAAGTTGTCGTGAAGACGCACAAGTTGGGTACCCAATCCTTAGCTTGAAATTGGGACGCGAAAGAGGTATCGGTTCGACCTATTTCTATCTTCACATCTGAGCACAATGACTCAGGCGGGCAGATTGACAGAAGAAAGATCTTGACAAGTGAAAGAAAGGTGGAGAGAGAGAGAGAGAGAGAGACTCTACTTGTGTCGTTCCTCGCTAAGATTTTGACCTAGGCGGATTCCCCTACTTATATTGTTTACTTTCTTAAGTCGATGGATTTGCATCTCTTTGCACATCCTTGGACAATGGTTTTGCAAGGTAATAGGTGACGTCTCTTTGGAAAATTTTCAGAGCCTCTACCCCACATTGGACATGACAGCTTGATAAAACGTCAATCTGCCTTTATGCCTCATGTTAGTCTCACTAGGATCCTTAGTGCCTATTTATTCAAATGCACTAACTTTTTGATCCTCTGCAATATATATCAAGCATGAGCTATTTTTTAAAGACTCCGCGCAATCTAAACCGACCTGGGTTCTCCTCCTGCCGCTGGTCCTGTTCAATGTCTTTACCCTCTCGCGCTCTACACTTCTAAACATTTCTAGCCATTTCTTACTACGAAGCAGAAAATCATCCCAAAATCAGCAGTCTTTGATCTCTCAGG